GGGCCGAGGCGAGCTGCCTGGTGGCCGGCCGGCGAGCAGCTGTCACGCCGCGCTTGACCGGATTTTTAAAAGGTTTTTCACGTACCGAAAGCTGAGGGAATCGTCCGGAACCGGCCCGAGGGGCTGCCGGGGCGGCGGGGCGCCCTCCCCTGCCCAGCCCAGCCCAGCCCAGCCCGCCTCGTCGTTTCTGTTTGCAGTGGTAATGCATCCTCGTTAATAAAGCGTACCTGGATCGTGTCGTCGTTGGGTTATTCCTTCTTCCTATTCCTCATAGGTTCTTCTCTCTCTCAGCAGCTGAGGAAGGGCAATGGGAGTTCAAGGGCTTTGGAAACTGCTTGAATGCGCCGGGAGACCGATAAACCCAGAAACGCTAGAAGGAAAAATCCTTGCTGTTGGTATCCTTCAAAAGTAAAGCTGAGGAACCAAATTTGTGAGGGAGATAGTTTTAAGTATTTCGCTTACTTCTACGGGATTTATTGTGCTTAGCTTTTTTTTTTTAATATTTTAAATCATGACAATATTTTGATAAGTAGATTTTATGCTTTGTAATATGTGAAATGCTAAGCTCTTTTTTTTTTTAACGTTTTAAAAAAGAGACTTTTTTAATAGATGCCTTACACAAGTGCTAGGCTGTAGGTTTTTGTGCTTTATAAATAAATGTGCTGCTCTGAGTAGGACTATAACATGAAAAAGTTTTAAATACTTTTGCATCAACTTTCCTATCATATATACTTGGTTAAATGCCGGAAAGATGTGGGAAGAAGCTACCCTTCATTTATTTGTAAAAATAACTGGGGGGGGGGGGGGGGTACTTGCTGCACGGTTATTTCAACTCTGCTTTTTGTCCCGGGAGAGAAGGGCAAGAATTTATTATTCTCTGAAGTTCACAAGTATTTGGATAATCTTGGTTTCGATAAGCCAAGCCTGGAACAGCGGGAAAAGCCACTCAGTCAAATATGTGCACTTTATAGAAACTATTAATATGGTATATGTGTAAGACAACACATTTTTTCCTCTTAACGGTTCTTTAAGATATCAGTATTTGGTTGAACCAAGCAATAAAGGGAGCCAGAGATCGTGGTGGTAATTCCATACAAAATGCTCACCTCCTCACTCTGTTTCATCGACTCTGCAAGTTACTGTTCTTCCGGATTCGACCTGTCTTTGTTTTTGATGGAGAGGCACCGCTTCTGAAGAGACAAACCTTGGTAAGTGCCTTTGCTGAGTCATTGCAATGCAAAATAGCATGTACGTGTGCTGGTACTAAGTAGCCATTTTCAATTTCCTTCTCACTCTGCCTGTGCTTCTGAGCCATGAGGATGGAGGGCTTGAAGTGCGCTGCTGTGCAGGTGTTCTTTGCAGTCCCAGTCTCGGTTAGCTGTTTGAGCAGGCAGCAGCTCCCTTTTGATATATTCAGGTTTGATTTGCGTAGAAACTGGATTGTGGGGAGGTAGATGATGGCATAAGCCTGAGTCTTGCTCCGGAATGGGCCTGAACGCAACTCTTGCAAGCATTTGTACCCAGAAGCTGAAAACTGTTCCCGAGTCCCACAGGGGAAACCGACATAGAGAGATTTAGAGGATCTGAAGGCTACGTCCCCATTGATGTAGGATGAGTTCGGAGTTGCTCGTAGACTCAACACACAGAATTATAACAGTAATTCACTGGATGTGTATCTTCAGCATCCAGCAAAATCTCGTTGGTGTTAATCTTATTTTCACAGGCTAAGCGAAGGCAAAGAAAGGAAGTTGCTGTCATTGATTCCAGGAAAACTACAGAGAAACTCTTGAAAACATTTTTGAAGAGACAAGTTATCAAAACTGCTCTTATGGGCAAAAGGCAAGAATAAAAATTATTTTCCCCTGGTTTATAACTGGCAGGTAAGTTTTTATGTAGCTCTTAATCACTGGTTTGTTTGTTTGTTTTTTTCTTTTTCTTTCCCTATCCCTAAGCAATCAAGTTTTGCCCAGTATTACACAAGTTCGAAGAGAAGAAATTGATGATATGTATGTCTTACCTTCTTTAGAGGATGAAGAGAAGAACAGGTAGGTAGAATTAAGAAAAATAGCTTAAATGGCTATAATAAACTCAGATAAAAGTGTAAACCACATTCTTTGACGCTGCTGAAAGGCCTTTGACCCATGAGACTCCATAATATATAAAGTATATTTCTTTATATTTTATTTCAGTTTCTTTTTGGAGAGTTGGGTTTATAGCTCTGGCTACAGAAGCCTTCTAGTTATTTATGGGAAAGTAGCAGAAGAAGCTTTCAGCCCACAGGTTAAATTTCTACACTGGATTCATGTTTAAGGATGAAAGTGCTACCTCAGTCTCCGTGGCCATGTCTATACGACTAAATGGAACTGATCGTTCAAGCGTGGGTAGCTGGTGTGTGGCAGCTTGATTCCGGTTTGCGTCCCCTCGTTCAGTAGTGTGGGCGTGTTGAGCAGAAGTAGGCTTTGTATGTACTTGTCAAACTTGTGACATCTTCTTAAATAACACTGAGTGGGAATGTGGAGCTATCCATTAGATTACTCTTTGCACATCTTATATATACTTTTATATACTTTAAATGCTGACCAAGTAAGAATCAGGTAATGATTTAAAGAGCAGCAGTTTTCTCAATCTAGTTTTAACTGACATAAGTCTGCCTTCTTGCTTTCTGTTCAGACTTTTTGACTTGTGTATGTATTTATACATGTGTGTATGTGTGCTTGTATGTATATGCATATATAGATGTGCGTACTTTGATGTTGTGTGTGAATTTTTGTATTTATCAGTGAAGGGATGACTAATGTCCTTTTGCTTAAAATAGGAACTTCATTTTCCTAAGTAAATATCTACATCTTTTTTTTCCTCTTTGTAATTTTTAGCTCAGAGGAGGAAGATGAAAAAGAATGGGAGGTGAGAATGAGCCAAAAAAAGATGTTGCAGGCAAGTGCATCCTAATTGCCCTGTTACTGTGAACAATCCTCTCATTCATGTGCTGTGCTTAAAAGACAAACAAAAAGGTTAAAAAAAAAAAAAAGTGTTTGGAGGTATAGGTCTTACTATAGCATTACTTATCAAGCAAACAAGTTAATTTTCAGTACTCTATGAATTCCTACTAATGAGAAAATACAAATGTAATTTTCTCCACTAGAATACAGCAGAATAGGAATTTCTTACGGTATGTGGTTTTTTTTTTTTTCCCTTTTGACTACTTTCTCTGGACATGTGGAGAAGAAATGGTTTTTCGTAATAGTATGCATTTGTACACATGTGTATGCACATATAAGACAGCATATTTAACAAAACTCCCATGCTTCTCCGAATATGAATTGATGTTGAAGCACTTCGGTCCTTGAGTTTTAACAGATAAATTCTGTATTCCCTTCTAATGTCCTGATCTCCTGGGAAGAGGAGAAAAGAAATATATAAACTAAGAAGGCGGCATAATGAGTAATAAAATTATCTCTCCTTTCATCAAAGTTAAAAAAAAAAAAAAAGAAA